GGAGGCCCTCCTACAAGGAAACACCGTGGTGTCTGCCCTCCATTTCTCACTGTGTGCTCCCATCTCCAACTTCAATGTGCACAGGGGTCACTTGAGGCTCTAGTTAAACTGCAGACTCTCAATCAGCACATCTGGGGTGGGCCTGAGACTCAGCATTCTAAGCAAGCTGCCAGGTGATGCAGACTCTGCAGGTACCTGGACCACAGTTAGAGGAGCAAGGAAGCTGAGGCCTCTGCAGGTGCAAGAAGCAGGGCCGCCTGACCCACCACCGACTGCCCTCTGCCTTCACCAAATGCCCAGAGGAAAATGCCTTATCTGCCTTTCAGGCATTAACCTACTATTAGGACGTTGGCTCATTCAAATATTTGCAGGCTTGAAGATTTCTCTTTAGCTTTAGATTTTTCTTTTGACCAAGGGTTCCCAGTTTATGTCAATGCACACACATTGCTGTCCATAATACGACAAGCTTGCTAAAGAATGTAGGCTCCTGTTCCCCATCCTAAAGATTCTGATTCTACTGGCCTGTGTTTGTTTGTTTCTCTGTCTGTCTGTTTATTTGCTTAACACACTCCTTGAGTGTTTTCTGATATGCATTCAGATTTGGGACCCTCTCCTTTTAGCTAAACAGTCCCAGCTGCTTCCAGCTCACACCTGGCAGTCTCAGGTCGAATCTGTGGTCAACTGTCTCCCCCCACTCAGGAAAGCAGTGTGTATTCTGGCTCACAAATAGACCCATGCCAGCTCTAGAGCATCCCAATTAAGATGCTGATGTGTCTGAGCAGGAAGCAGAAGTGAGCACTACTCGGAATTAAGCATACACGTTTCTGTCTTCTAGGACATCCTAAATGAAAATAGAAAGATCATGGTCATATGACTGATCAGCGAATGACTAAAACTCGCGGAGAATGGGTAGTGAGCGAGGGAAGCTGTATCCACGCAGGCTCTCTCTCCCACATGGCTCTGGCCATCATTTCGTTCTTTGCAGCTCAGTGGTTTGACTTAAAATGAACCGAAAGTAAATTTTGCCAACCATTAAACTAAGCCAGTTCACACATAATAGACACCAGATAAATCCTTTTTTAAACTGAACTAAACTGAATCAAATCACTATCTAGGCAGTGGTGAGCCCCCTAACACAACCAAACAAAAAACTACAAACCTGCTGAGAGGTAAGAATGCATTTCAAACCCCCAAATTTGTTGGAACTTCATGAGATTCTACATCTTGGAGGAGCAGAAGGAAAATTAAGGAGAAAGACGGCAGAGCCTGAATTAGTTTCAGAGAGGGAGGGACTTTTTTTCTGTAAGAAAAAGAGAAGATTGCATTAGGAAATAGGAACAGGGCAATGAAGGACCACTGACCACCACAACATCTCCTGGCTTGAGTGTTCCAGGAAATTGTTTGCAAAGCTAGCTGGATCCTCTCCAGATGGCCACAGTGGTGTGGTTGTAGAAAGCAGTCAAAAATATCCCTTGGGTTTGAAGATAGCAAGTCTGTATTCCCCACACAACGATGCAGGAGGCTCACAGGGGCCCCGAGAGCTGCTGTGGGACCAGTGAGCTGAGGGAAGAAGCAGGAGTGGGGAAGAGCCCACAGTCACTTTCCAGAAGCCTTTCTCAACCCACCTCTATAGAAAATTTAAGCTCCGGAGATACTTTCTGGGTGATTATTTTATCAGTCTTTCCAAGGAAGGTATATAACTCGCACCATGATGCACTGCACAGAAGTTGGTGCCTGGCGTGTAAGGAGGGCCTCAGGGCTCCGGGCTTAAATTCCTCCAGGAGCCTGATGGAGAGGATTGCAGGTTTCCAGAACCTGGGCTGAAGGAGAGATCCTGACAAACAGCATCTGAGATAGAGTGAATCCTGGTCCCTGAGTGGCTTTAGGGCACAAGTCACCCAGCTGCAGAGGCTGAGGAAAGAGGAATGGGAGTGACCACTAGGCAGTGCAGAACTGAGGTCAAGTTCCAAGAATGAACCTTTGCAGTAATGGGCCAAAGAGGAAGCCCTACACATTGGGCGAAACATTTGGTTTTCTGTTTAGTATTTAACTGAGCAGTTCAGCCCATGCAATGTACACTCACACAACCCTCTGCACACAGTCGGTCCCAGCACTAAAGGCAAATTGGCCATGAGCCAAGAGAGCAGTCCCAGGCCCTACTGCCTCTCATCTATTCTGTTCTCTAGAAAACCAGCTCCACACACTGACTGGAACCGTCTGGCTCCTGCGGGCTCCGAGTCCAGGAAACCCCGCTGAGCTCCCTAATCCAGGGAGGTTACTGTTGCACGCACAGCCCGGAAGGCACCCACTCCCAAGAAACCACCTAATGAAAGCCTCATGTGTTGGCTCAGGCTGCATAGGCTCTCAGGCTGATTCTAGCTGGGCCTCATGCCGAAGGCGTGACCTCACACTTGGGAAAACCAGGCACCCCAGAAAGAGAAGGTGGGTGTGGGGGCCAGACCTGCCCCTAATCAGGGCCAGCCGGGATGGGTGGAGACAGAGCCACCTCTCCCGAAGCCCCTGAGGACCAGCGACAGGGCCTGTGGGCCAGGAGGCACAGCTCAGAAACCTCAGTTCTGACCCAGACACTCTTTTTTTTTTTTTTTGGCATGATCCCCATAAAAATTGCTGTCATTCTACAAGTTTCACACCAAAGAGAAGCTTAACTAGGTAGGGCCAAATCTCTGTGGAGAATTCCCAGTTACAGAAGCTAGGAAGGAAGGATATAATTAGAACCTGACTTAAAAAAAAAATAGAACAGTTCAAAAGACCCCATTAAGAGAAGGACACTGAAAAACAGTCTATTTGTCCACATTTAGAAACTGGTACCGAGACTGCACTTATCAGCATCATTTACAAAACACTTAAAGACCCACATTTCAGCCTCAGACCGGGCAGGCTTCACTTGGCTCTTCATACACACAGGCGTTTAATAAATTGTGTAGGCAACTCCTTTTGCCTACACAGCTGCACCGTTTTCATGTTCTCTATAAAATCTTTTGCAGGCAACGAAACTTTGAAGAAGCTGCACTCCAGAAGTAAATAAATAAATGTGTTTTTACCTGATGTAGTCACCATGAAATAGCTAATGACTTAGGCTTTTGTTAAAGAAACTAATATAAATTTTTCTGCAAGATTTGCTTAGAAGTTCTGCCTTTGGGCATTGAAGGCCAAGTACAATAAGTTGAAAAAAAGAAAAAAAGAAAAGATAACCTGGTGAAATTTGAAGTCTCTTAAATTGCATCCCATATGGAGCATTTGCCTGAGTCCTGTGGAGCCCCTTGAATAACCATCACATGAGATCCCCCGGGACCCCAAGGCCTCCAGGAATCAGGGTGGATTTTCAATAATGTAAAAATTCCCCAAGACCTGGGTGACATTGAGTTGACTATACAAAGAACAAGGACAGACTTTGATGGAGACCCTTCAAATCTCCTAGGAGTTACTCTCTGGCAATAGCCCCAGCTCATTTTCCAATAACTATTGCTAATTCCATCTGCTCCCAGTCCATTTGACTAAGTGTCACGAGGGTAGTTGTGGGGAGAATCAAAGCACGAGACCTTCTCGATTTAGAATGCAGAGGTGTAGATTAAAATTTTTATTATTTTAAAGAGGAAACTTTTTCTGGAAATGTATCTCTAAAATAATGATGGGGCCAATAGGAAAGAGATTTTGCCAGACAGTATGTGCTTTGCTGCAGCTTTTCAGAAATATTTCTAAAAGGAAGAAAAAGGTCAAATGGAGCCTGAAAAGACAGGATGATTCACAATCTGTCAAAGCTGGAAGGACAGGCTGGCTCTGCTCACACAGCCGAACATCCCTGATACAACGTTTCCACCCTGAACTACACAACGAATGTCCACAGATGCACCTGGAGGTTGGTGCTGGGGTTCATTCTCCATGTGGTCACCCTTGCTGTCCATCTTCCAACCAGTCCCCAAGATAATAGAAGAGAGCCTCATCCTTCCACTCAGCCTGCAGACCAAGCAAATAGCTCCCTACTATGTACTATGACCTTGTTTCAAAAAAAATGTCCCGGTCCCCTCCTCTGCTTTCTTCCACTTGGTCTGCACTTCCTGCTCTACCAAGAGTCCCAACAGCCCACAGCTCTGGACCCCTTATGCCTGGAATCAAGCTTCTTTTCAGAGAGGGTGTGTGTGTTTAAAGAAAAGATAGAAGGCTCCTCTCTGGACCTTCAGCCAAGGCAGGATATAAACACCAGGAGGGTCACAGCCAGCATGGGATAAACTCTTAGGGTTTTAAATGGGAAAAAAAACTTAAAGATTATCTAATGCCGTTATTTTTCAGAATTTTCAAAATACAGTGATATTTCTTTCGCTGTGAGGGTGTATGTAGAAATCCAGTATATAAAACAGAGAGAAAAGAAGCTACTCTATCCATACAGTAATATATTATTTGGCCATAAAGAGCCATAGCGCTGCCACATCAGTGAGCCTTGCAAACGCTATGTGCAGTGAAAGAAGCCACAGAGAACCACATGTTGCCTAATTCCCTGTGTATGAAATGTCCAGAAGAGGCTAATCAATACGGATAGAAAGCAGCTCAGCGGTTGCCTAAGCTGAGGGGAGGAGAGGAGTTCAGGAGGCGAAGGCTGAGAGGTGCAGGGCTTCCTTTTGGCGTGGCGAAATGTTATACAATGGACTATGGCGTTGGTTGCACAAACCTGTGAACTGCACTGATTAAATGGGTGAATTTTATGGCGTGTGAATTCTATCTCAATAAAGCTGTTAAAAAAACACCTGCTCTCACTGGTCTGCCAGCCAGGCCTCCTTCACCCTGCTCTCTCCAGGGGCCCCAGAACCACCTCTGTGGGCCCCTACAATTGTGTGGAATGATCTGGTCCAAGTGTCTACTCCTCAAATGCTAACCAAGAGATGAGCCCAAGTTTTTTGACTCCAAGTGCAGGGCCCTTTAAATGAAAAGTCTCACTGATGGGTCAAGGCCCATCTGAGGAGAAAGGCTGCCAGCCAGGGTCTCACCGTCCATGTCCAGGCGCTGCATGATGATGGCCAGCTCCACTTCACTCGGCATGTACCCCAGAGAGCGCATGGCCATTCCCAGCTCCTGCTTGGAGATGAAGCCATTTCCGTCTCGGTCCAAAACCCGAAAGGCCTCTCGGATTTCTACAAGAAGAAGGCAAAGAAAGTTCAATGGTCACATGGTTTCACTTAGTGCATTGAAATTATTGGTGATTATCTACTGAAAACTCCTTACTGCTTTAAAAATAGTGATACATCAAAACCTTTTAATTCAGTAAAAAAGTGTCCAAAAGAGGGGGAAAAAAGAGAGAGAAAGAAAATGAAAGAAAAAATGGGGAGGACGGAAAGGGAGAGGAGAGGAAAAGGGCTTTGGCAGGAGGAAGTGACCGGCCCAGAGCACCTACACCCTGTAGCAGGTGCACAGTTAGACAGTGGTCCAGCAGAGAACCGTGTCAGCCAAAGGCACTTTCCCAACAAGGATGAAGACGAGGTTTCATCTGTGAGAAGAAAAGCGACCTGGTAACTCCGGCCATTAGGAGGAAAGGAGAATGAGATTCCTATACAGACGTGTATTTCAGCACCCTGCTCCCACAGGGGCTGTGCAGAAAGCTTTTTCAACATCATAGCAGGGTAGGAGATAAGTATCCTAATGTTTTCATTTCATTCCTCTAACTTATAGTTGTTTCATGGCTACAAACAACTTCAGATCAATAAGGGTGTAATAAAAGCCCCAAACATGTCTTTAATCACATTCTCTGAGACTGGCAGAGAATTGGGCCCTGCTATCTATCAATAAGGCCATTTCACTGGGCAGGTGGGTCTCCTATCTTCTTACCCCAACAGGACTTGCTCTGCTCCACCCAAAGTCCCTCCCTCCAGAGTCCCCATGGCATTAGTTCTGGGTTGGCTGAGTGTTTCCTGACACATCACACCCCTGCAAGACATGACATGGTGAATTCAAGATCACAGTCTGAAGACGAGAGGTTCATCCATCGTATCTGAGTGCGAGACTTGGCCAGCCTTGATTTTTCATCCATCAACCTGATGCAAGCCCAAGTATGGCAGCTGCCAGCATTCATCAGGACACTCAACATGTAGTGGCCGTCTGTACCTGAGGAGCGCCACAGTTAGTGCCGCGGAGAAATAACTACCACTTGCTGGCACCATGGTTCCCCTTCAGACCCCTACCCTCCAGTCAGGAAGGTAAAATACGCACAGAAACTTGCAAGGACCCTTAAAACTAATGCAAGACACTTGGCCCTCACCCACTTAGTTACTACTTTTCTAAATACCTGACTTGCTTCCAGCAAATACCTGGAACCACACCTTTTCCCAAACAGGCTTTGCCCATTTCTGTGTATGTCAAATTTCTGTGGCTGCTGTAACAAACCACCACAAACTTGCTTCAAACAACACAAATTTATTCTCTCACAGTCTGGTGGCCAAAAGTCCGAAATCATTATCACTGGACCAAAGTCAAGGTGTGGACAGGGACACTGGGGGTTCCAGCAGGGGGTTGTTCTTGCCTCCTTCCAGCTTCCAGTGGCTGCCGACACCCCTTGCCTTGCGGTCGCATCACTCCATTCTCTGCCTCTGTGGTCACACACCCTTCTCCCCTCCTGTCCGTGACCTCCCTCTGCCTCCCTCTTATAAGGACTCTTGGGTTTGCATTTAGGGATCACCCGGGCAATCCAGGATAATCTCCCCATTTCAAATCCTTACATTAATTACATCAGCAGAAGCCCCTTTTCCAAGGTAACATTGGCAGGTTCCAGAGATGAGCACCTGATATTTCCGTGGGCTGGTTTTCAGACCACTGCACTGTCTCATCCAGTTCTTTCACCTGCCACACCCTGACTTTCTCTTTACCTGACCAAATCAAATTAGCCCTTCAAGGCCAAGCCAGGGGCCACAGAACCCACAAAAACGTCTTGGCTCACCATAGCCAAAGTCATCTCCCTTTCTGCCAGCCATTCAGAAGGTCACTCATTCCTTTCACATGACATGTAGTACGACCCATCTAGAGATAAGACGACTGGTGTAGAATTCAGTGCTTCTCCTTTGAGCCCTAAGCTGCTCGTACACTTCATTCATCTTTGTATGTTCCCACCCACACTCAGAAGGAGGCGCTAGACAGACGGCTGTTGAATGGGTGGTGGGTCTGAATAAATAAGGATAGTATGTTGGTAGCAAATTCATCATCGATACTAATTCAGCACGCCAAGTGCTTTCTGTGAATAACTGTGGGCTCCAGCACAGACAAGACCAGCCAGTGAGCCAGGACCCTCGGCTCCTGGCCAGGCGTGTTAGCTAATTAAGTCTGCAGCCAAACCCTGAGGCCTCAGTGTGTTCATGTGTAAAGTGAGCTGGTTAGCCGCGAGGATCCCGGAGGACTTTCCAGCCCTCTTTTCTGTAGATCTGTGGACATCGTTAAAGTATTTAGGAGATGAACAGGAAGCCTGTGTTCTCTTTCATACCCTGTTAATCGGCTGTTCAAATGCCCCTCTTTTTTCCATTGATGATATAGAAAAAGAAAATTTGGTCAAGTCCAAAGACTGAACCAAGGGGTTTGTCCACACATTCAGGTTTTCGTCAACCGAACATGCCTAAGATAACCTAAAGCAGCCATATGTTTCTCTACCAACTCCCTGATGGCCTGAAAAGAGCTTAAAGCTGCTGCGCAGCTTGAGGTGGTGGCTCAGAGCACTCAAGGACACTGGGACAGAGACCATAATCCCAGACACCTGGGCCCAGATCCCAGACACCAAGGCCAGGAGGGTATGGAGACTGGGTGTCCCAAGGTGGCAGTCGGCACACAAGGAAGCCAGACCAGCTCTGCCCGGCAAGTCTTCTCCCCCAGGCTCGATTTGCTCATCTGAAACATAAGTTGGGGTGAGTCTCCTTCCAGCCTTTATAGCAAGGTTTTACATGGGCTGGCACAGACTGTGCAACAGTAGAAAATGTCGGATGACAGCTGGAACTCCACCTGGGGTCACAGAAGAGGCCAGGACCCCAGGTGGACCGGCTGGAGGTTCAGCTGCAGGCAGAGCCCTGCCCCGCGTCCTCTCTGGACCACTCCTTTCCCAAGGCACCAACTCCACTTCCCACCCCTCTGACTCCAGCCCGCACCCTCCGGGCGGTTGCTCTCACTCTGAAAGGGGGACAAGACCCAGCTCCATGCCTGTGTTCCCCCTGCATGCCCTAGATTTTACCAGCCACAGAGCTTGTATCCTTACATGGGGCATCCCGAAGGGGCCAGGGTGGGGATGTTTGAGAGTTTAGCCTGGAAACGGAGGCCTTGGTAAGTGGGCCTGCTGATCTCCACCCTGCTGCCTGGGCTACTCCCAGAGTTGCCTCCTGCTGGGGCAACTGGATTTGGCAAGGCAGAACGAAGACAGCGGCCACCCCAGCATTGCCCTACTGTGAAGGAACGTGCTCCTTTGAAGCCTTGACCCTAGTGGTTTGTCCCATCTGTAGCATGTAACCAGGGAGGCTTCGCCCCAGCCCAGGACAGGACAGGACAGGGCACAGAGCAGCTCAGAGTTTTGTTTTCTGTGGCCCCCAGGTAAGTGGGAAAAAGCTATCCTTCTCTGTTTGCATAAAATATCTGCTCCTGGCTCCCTGAATAAAGCTCACTAACATCATTTCTTTCAAAATATCAGAGTCCAAAAAAGCCCCCAAAGTACAAAACTAGAAATCCATAATGGGAGCCTCTGGGGAGTTAGGCTAGGGAAGGCCCAGGCAAATGAGAAGCTTATTAGCAGGAAATGGGTCTTGCAGTCTGAGACATGTGATGTATGCCTCATTTTATATTTAATAGCCAACAGGGTGTGAGAAATATGCCCATAAAACCAGAGGAGACACAGGAGCAGGCCAGGTCCCACCGCCTCCGGCTACAGGCGTCCTGCTCTCGGCACGAAGGGTCTCTGGCCACTTTCCACATCCTTGGGAAGTCGGAACCACAAATCAAGTTTTCGGGAACAACCCAGTAACAGCGTGTGCTTTTTATTGGAATCCAACCCCTCTTTGGGCTAACGTCCCTCATGTTTCAGAGCTACATAAGCATGTCGCGCTTTTGGTTTTTAATTCAGTCTCAGTCTCACACAACACGTGCACAGCACGCACCCGCCCAGCAAGTCCACCATCCCCAAGGCAGCTTAGCAGGCCCGAGAGGGGCACCTGCAGTGGCCATCGGAGCCTGGCCAACAGTCATTGTGTGAAAGGAAACATGGTAAGACAGATCCTCCAAAAAAGCAACCCACTCTCTGCACACGGAATTTCTCAGAACCACAGAGACCTGTGCTTCTCCTCCATGGAGTGATGGCGATGTTCTGAAGCCAAGGAAGGCCCCTGATAGACATGGTCCTGCTCTGGATGTGGTCTTGCTCTAGAGCCTGAGAGATTCACTTCTTCTTAAGCCAGCGAGTCTATTTTCTTAAAGATAGCCACAGCCACCAAAGGTAGCACCTGTGCCCTGACCCAGTGCCCTCTGAGAACCACGCCTCAATTCTGTAATGCCCTGTAGGGACATAGCCTATTCCAGCAATAACAACGCCAAGGGCACACGAACCATATGGAACAGACTCATCAATCAGGCCGCCTAAACACAGCGCGCACCAGATGAAATCCAGACTCCAGCCAGAGTCAATATTTATTGGCTAATGTCTGGCTTTGAAGACTCAGCTGAAACTCGCAGTGCTAAAGATTAGTAACAAAGAACACAGTTTTCTCCTCTCAGTCCCCATCATATGTAAAATCTGTTTATTCTCCACAAAAATGTATCTTTAGGAAGACTGTGGGCTTTAACCACAAAAAGAGATGGCTCTCTTAATGAACAAGATGAATTCTGTTGCTACACATTGTTGAGAAATGGCAAAACTGGAGACAGATGCAGTTCAGCGAGGCTAGGCAAAGTTGGTTATTAAATAACAACACAAATATACCAGAAAATATAAGGCACAAGCTTGAAGGTCATTTTTCAGAAGAAATAGTAAGACAGGGACTAAGCCAATGACAAGAAAGATTTAGGAGGGTTTCCACCTTCTCTAAGAGAGACAAGAAATGAATATTCAGAGATGATTAATCAATGAAATGCTGCTGTTCACTTGTTGTGTGCCAGTGCTATGCCAGAATAGGCAGGTAGT